GTGTGCTGAAGACCTGGAGGTACAGGGGAAGGATTGCATGGAGGGGATTGTAACCATGGCAATGAGACGATATACAACAGAATGAATGTAAAACTAATGTTCTCCCATGTAAACTATCACATAATTCACAATAAAACATTTAAGAAAAAAAAATGTATTGATGATTACTGATGATTGGAAAAGGACCATAGAAAACAACAAGGAAGGATTCATAGTTGAAAAATATGGCACTGGTTATAAAAATGATGTTGGAGATTGAATGACAGAATTTTGCAAGACCAAGGACTTGCTCATTGTAATGCCTTTTTTCAACAGCCTAAAAGGCCAGTAAACACATGGAGCTCACCATATGGAATACACAGGAATCACATTGAGTACTTCTGTGGGAAGAGACGATTGAGGAGCTCAAAATCATCAGACAAAAAACAAAGCCAGTTGCAGGGTACACCCTTTGGTTGGTTGATGATGCATGGATGGGATTGTAACCATGGCAATTAAACGATCTATGATAGGATGAATGTAAAGCTAATGTTCTCCTATGTAAACTTTCACATAATTCACAATAAAACATTAAGGAAAAAAAAAAACAACTAGGGGCCAACTGTAGAACAGACCATCAATTGCTCACATGCAAGTTCAGGTTGAAGCTGAAGGAAATTGATGCAAATCCACAAGAATCAAAATATGACCTTGAGTATTAATGACGTATGCTGTTGAGTTGGTTCCGACACAAAGCAATCCTTTATAGAATTACCAAGAGTGGCTGGGTTTCAACTGTCGATCTTGTGGTTAGCAGTCTGATATTCATCCCACAGTGCCACACCAGGGCACGTTGCTATTGTTGTTAAGCGTTGTTAAGTAACTTCCAACTCATAGTAATCCTAGATAGGATTTTCGAGGAGCAGCTGGTGGTTTTGAACCACTGATCTTATGGTTAGCAGCCCCATGTTTATTCTACAGTATCACACCAGGACTCCAGACCATGGCATATGCCATCTGAATTTAGAGAACATCCCACAAACAGATTGATGTATTATTAGATACTAATGACTGAAAAACATACATGAAGAAAGCAAAAGGTCATTAAAAAGACAGGAAAAAAACAAAAGGTCAAAATGTATGTCTGAGACTCTGAAACTTGGTCGTTAGCATACAGAAGCTAAAGCAACTGGAAGAAATGAGGAAGTAAAAGAGCTGAACAGAAAAATTCAAAGGGCAGCTTGAGATGACAGTCAAATATTATAAAGAAATGCACAAAAACCTGAATTCAAAAACCAAGAGAAATGCCAAGCTGAAAGAACAGAAGAAAAATGTCAAGCCTCAGGTTGCAAAATTAAATAAATAATATCATGATAAATGGAGAAAGATTGACGTTGTCAAAGACTTCATTTTCCTTGGATCCACTATCAACACTCATAAAAGCAACAGTCAAGAAATCAAACAAAATATTTGCATTAGACAAATGTACTGCAAAAGACCTCTTTTAAGTTATTATAGAGCAGATGTCAATTTGAGAACTAAAGTTTGCCTGACCCAAGCCAAGGTATTTTCAATCGCATCATGTGCATCTGAAAGTTGGACAATGAATAAGGAAGACCACAGAAAAATGGAAGCATTTGAATTACAGTGTGGGAGAATATCAAAAGTATCAAAGATTGTCACAAGAACAAACAAATCTTTATTGGAAGACGTATACCCAGAATGTTCCTTTATAAGGATGGTGAGACTTAAGTTTCTTGTACTTTGGCATATTCTTGTACTTTGGACCAGTCTCTGGTGAAGCACACCATGGCTGGAAAAGTGGAGGGCCAAGAGAAAAAAGGAAGATCGCCAGTAAGATGGATTGACACAGTGACAGCAACAATCGGCTCACACATAACAACATTGTGAGGATAACCTAGGACCAGGCACTGTTTCATTTTTTTGTGCATTGGGTAAATATGAGTTAGAATGGACTCGATGGCTCCTAACAACATTTATAATGTTAAAAAACAAGCCAACCATTCCTCACACAACCTCCTCCAGAGCTAGGTTCAATAAATCATTACTGTGATGCCATGAAATATTTAATGTCTTTTCTAGTCATTTTTGCAAATGACCTTTTCCTGGTAGGCTGGGTAAGAGAAGGTGAGGGGAAATGCTGACGTATTACATGATTCAGTTGTGATTGTTAACAAGGCTAATAGTGATTATAAAACTTTGGAATTCTAATGTAGGTATAAAATGAGGTTTCTCAAAAGCAGGAATGGAACTCTCACTACCATCAAAGAAAAGCCAAGAGTGGAACAAGTCCTCTGGATCCCGAGATCTTCACCCATTGATCTTCCTGATCCAGGGACAGAAAGCTGTAATACCAGAGGAGTGGCAAAGGAGCAGTAATAGCAGAATCCAGAGCAGGAACACATGGCAGAACTTGTCTTATGGGCTTCCAAGCCCAAAGAGCAATTAAAACTGAGTGACTTTGGGCAGGAGGCGTGCTTGCAGAGTAGGGTGCTTCCAGACATTTCATTGGGGTCAAGGGGCTAGGTTTGCTGACTCACAGAGCTATAGCTGAGTGCCTTTGGGCTGAGGCTTATGGTGGAGTAGTGTGTTCTGTGGGCATTTATCAGCATCCCTACAGGAGCTTTGTAACATTGGTAAAGCAGAGAGAGGACTGCCTGTGGACACGGTTGAGGCAATGTCTGTCTTGACTGGAACAACTGTGCTTTCAGCATTTATGACCTTAAATTGTAATGTATTAACTTCCCTAATAATCCCCATGACTGAGTATAGGGTGTGAGTTCTCTGTACCACCGTAATGAATTATCAAACTCATCTTGAAAAGTACAAAATGCTGTGGTGCTCATTTTTCGCAATTGCAATTGAACATTTTTTGTAATGTTGTGACTTTTCTTTGTATCTTGGGAGCACTTCCATTATCACTAGTAACAAATCATATGGGCTACATGGTGTTACTCAAGGTTTAAGCTATTGCACTAAACACAAAGAAAATTATGTGAGAATTGTGAGAGATCATTTTTTACTGTGATATGCAATTTACTAGAGACAAACCATTCATTTGGCGATGTTTAGTTCACATGGCATTTAAAAAAATAATAGTAATAAGTTTATCAATGGGCCCATGTTATTCAAGAGTCAAATGTAATTATATCTTTAAATACTATGGTTATATAATTTTTATGATTTTTTTTTTTTTTATCGCTACCCTTCTCATCTGCCAAGTGCTACTTATTCAAAGTTATCACACCTCTGATACCTGCCTTCTTCTTTCCATTCACATTGTCACCACAGGTTCTCATTACTTATGAGAAAAATCTACAGAGTTGTCAATACAGTAAGCTAGATATAACAAACGCTCCTTACTGATAAATATTATTAGATCAAACTAATAAAGCTGTACTTGGATTTCCTACCTATAAAATCATTCCAATCCATTGGATGAAATTTACTACTGCCGGATTTATTTGTTAAAAATGAGATTATGATCAAGTTTGTTCTATTCATAATCTCTCAAAAGTTCCTTAATTTTTAAATATTGACCTTCCTACTTATACTGTTTAACAAGCTCACCCCAAATGCCTGCTCTTCTTTTTGTATTGCTCGAATTTTTCTGAATTTCCAAAACTTTGTTTATGTTCTTTACTCTTACAGAATAGATCAAGTTATTACTGTTTGTTGTTAAGTGCCGTCGAGTCTGTTCCAACCCATAGTGACCCTGTATAGGGTTTCCAAGGAGCATCTGGTAAGCTCAAACTGCCAGCCTTGCAGCCCAAACGACTTTGTAGTCTAGCACATTAACTCACAGAGCCACACTAGGACTCCCAAAATGGATCAGGTAGGCCTTTCTTATTCATTTGATCTTTAAACTTACCTGCTAATATCATTGTTGCTTAGGTCAAGTCTTTCCAAAGATTTTAGTAGTGTAATTTCATCTGGAACAGATTTCAACTTGTTATCCCTCAGGTCAAGTACAAGGATAGAATTCAGATGCTTAAGGTGTTCTGCCGCTAACTTTTCAATCTGGTTTTCACCTACATGCAATTCCTACGAAACCAAAGATGAGTTATAAGTATTGCTGTATCCAACAAACCAGGTAATAAAAATTAAATTGTAGGTAATCTTAATATCAAATAATTCAAAACACACATATTTTTTAAATCCACAATTTTCTAATTATGAATGTGCTTACACTTCCATTACATTAAGCTACTTTACAGCTGAAGAAAGATGGCTATATATATAAATTTTTAGAAATCAACTAAATCAATAGTCAACAATACATATATGGAATTTCTAGCAATTTAAATATCATGAAAGATTTAAAAATCATAAAAGGGTTAATCCTGTAGAAACATCAAGCTTACAAAATAAAGCAGAGAAGGTAAATTATTTAGTAATCAAGCATAGAATTTTAAAAACTACAAATCCAGTAAGCATACTGAAGAAACATTAAAGTTTCAAAATAAGTCACTATCAGTTTTAAAAAAGTTATTTTACATGATAATTTGATATTCAACATTTTCATTATTTGTTATTCAATATTATATATACTGATTTCCCATTAACAGAATTTGTAATTATTAGACTGATAATTAAGTTAGTAAATAACTTATTTGGTTCTTTTAAACATTGTCATCATTATAGCTAAAAAAACCAAATTTTTTAACACTGATGCATAAATGTAAATATGAAAGAATACAAAGTTAGAAGATAGTATTCATGCTATATAATCAAATCAAAGAAAGCAACTGATTATAACCAGATGTGTTTATGATCAGGTCAGTGTGAAAGGTGGCTATTTATACAATTAGATACATGTTCTTTATTTGTATTTGAGGTACCATAAGGAGCTTTGGTAGCATAGTGGTTACAAATTGGGCTGTGAACCGCAAGGTCAGCAGTTTGAAACTACAAGCTGTTCCATGGTAGAAAGATGAGGCTTCCTGCTCCCCTAAAGATTTACAGCCTTGGAAACCCTGTACAGGGTCGCTATGGGTCGGAACCGACTCCACGGCACATAACCAACAACTGTAAGTATCAATTTATCATTTAGTTTCTCCACTTATAAACCGCTCACCAGAAAAAAATTACAAATTCCTATTCTTCAGTTAATTATTTCTTTAAAAAGTATCAATTACTAACAGTGCCATCGATATAATTACTTATACTAAAATTCTTAAAACTATTAATATGTAAAAAATATAGTAATTATAACACACATTCCCAAGTAAAATAGCATTACCTTTAAAAATCATTAAAGAAATCATTTTCAAAATTAATTTTTTGAAAATATATAATAACTTAACAATAAACTAAATAGTACCTTCAATAGTTTACAAGAAGGAAACTCTGGAAGTGAATGCAATTTATTCCTCTGCAAATAAAGCAATTCTAGTGATTCCATGCCAGCCAATTCAGAAGGTATAGTTTCTAAGAGATTTGAATTGCAATCCAACTGCTTTAATCCTGTAATATATATTTAGTGGAAAATAAAAATACTTGAATAGACAAAAGAAAAAAAAAACAAAACTGGCCTATGGTCACATATATCTTCAAAGAAATTACCAGGAGGATTTATAAACCTACACCATTACATACTGCTATAATAATCAGAAACACTACAATACCATCAAACTAAATAAATGTAAGCTAAATGTTTTTTCATTTAATGGTAAAAATGTAAATAGATACTAAAGTTAATATTAAATAATAATATAGGCCATTTTTATAGATTTCAAAATAAAGTATTCCAATATTCTGTTAAAGTACTCTGAAATGTATAGAATTGTATACTGAGATATTATTATAGTCTTCATTTATTATACATCTTTAAAATAAAAAAACATAATGTAATTGTTGTTAAGTACTATTGAGTTGGTTTTGACTCATAACAACCCTTAATAGGGTTTCCAAGGAGCTGCTGGTGGGTTTGAACAGTTGACCTTGCAGTTAGCAGCTCAGTGCTTATCTTACAGTGCCACACCTGAACTCCATAATGTAATTGGGGATATATAAACAAACATGCACATGTTTTATAAATCAAACTGCCTTAGAAATATCTCTAGGCAAGTTGACTTTGTGCTAAAGAACAGTGGATTTCAATGTATTCCTGCCTATTCTTCCATATTTCCATGTCATCTCCCTCCCTATCTATCTTCTTTCCATTCTTTTTTTAATTGCATGCTTTTACTAATGTCCTGACTAATACTTCTGACAAGAATGTAAAGCAGAATGCCCTGATAAGCAGTATTATTCTCTTACCTTCTGTACCTTTCTTTCTTAAAGAGTCAAGACAGAAAACTAATATAGAGAAAAAGTAAAGGAATCCTTTCCTTTATTACTTCAATAAGTAGTTTTCTCTCTAATCAATATTACAGATTCTGTCACTATCATTCAAAAACTGGACCCAGTACCATAGAGTTGATTCTTCAGACCCTCCAGGACAATGTAGAACTGCTCCAGAGGGTTTACATGGCTGTCAATGTTTACAGAAGTGGACCATGACACCTTTCTTCTCTGGCGTTGCTGGAGTGTTCAAACTGGCAACCTTTAGGTTAGCAGCTTAGTGCTTAAACAGTTGTGCCACCAGGGCTCCTTCTTCTCTTACAGCCACTACATGTTTTCTAGGAAATAGTTCTCAGTCCTTAAATTTGATTAAGGAATGTGCGTTTTACCGTTTCACTGTAGGATAAGAACTGAACAGCAAGGTTGGTTTGAACCACCAAGTCGGCAGGTCAAACTCACCAGCAGCTCCACAGAAACCCTATACAGGGTTGCTATGAGTTGGAACTGACTCAACAGCACTTAACAACAACAACAACAACAATGTACTTTGAGTTTCTCAATTTTAACACAATTTATGACTGGGTTAATGTCTCATACTACCATGTTGTTGTTGTTGTTGTTAAGTGCTGTCCAGTCAGTTCTGACCGATAGCAATCCTATATACGGTTTCCAAGCAGCAGATAGCGAGCTTGAACCGCCAACCTGCGGTTCAAAGAGACTTTGCAATCCAGTGCTTTAAACCACAGCAACATACCAGGATTCCCATACTACCTTGTTGTTGTTGTTAGGTGCCATTGAGTTGGGACCTACTCATAGCGACCCTATGCACAGCAGAACGAAACACTGCCCCATCCTGGGCCAACCTCACTACTGTTGCCACGCTTGAGTCCATTGATGCTGCCACTTGGTCAATCCATCTCGTTGGGGGTCTTCCCCTTTTTCTCTGATCCTTCCCCTTACCAAACATGGTATCCTTCTCCAGCGATTGGTCCCTCCTGACAATATGTCCTCGGCCACCCAGGAGCCCTCTGGTTGCACTTCCAAAATGGATGTATTGGTTCTTTTAGCAGCCCATGGCACTTTCAATATCCTCCTCCAACACCATAACTCAAAAGCATCAATACTGCTACGCTCTTCCTTATTCACTGTACAGCTTTCGCATGTAAGGTTATTGAAAATACCATGGCTTGGGTCAGGTGCACTTTAGTCCTCAAGCTGACATCTTTGCTCTACAACATTTTAAAAAGGTCTTGTGTAACAGATTTGCCTAATGCAATATGTCATTTGATTTCTTGACTGCAGCTTCTGTGAGTGTTGATAGTTGATCCAAGAAAAAATGAAGTCCTTGACAACTTCAATCTTTTCTCCGTTTATGAGAACGTTGTTTATTGGTCTAGTGGTGAGAACCTTTGTTTTCTTGACATTGAGATGTAATCCATACCGAAGGCTGTGCTTTTTGATCTTCATCAGTAAATGTTTTAAGTCCTCTTCACTTTGAGCAAGCACAGTTGTGTCATCTGCATACTGCAGGTTGTTAATGAATCTTCCTCCAATCCTGAGACCATGTTTTTCTTTATATAACCAAGCTTCTTGTATTATTTGCTCAGAATACAGGTTGAATAAGTATGGTGAAAGAATACAACCTTGTTGCACACCTTTCTTAATTTTAAAATATTCAGTATTCCCATGTTCTGTTCGAACAACTGCCTCATGGTCCAGGTACAGACTCGTCATGAACACAATTAAGTGATCCAGAATACTCATACTTCGCAATGTTGTTCATAGCTTGTCATGATCCACACAACTGAAAGCCTTTGCGTAGTCAATAAAGCACAAGTAAACATCTTTCTGATATTCTTAGCGTTCAGCCAAGATCCATCGGATATCAGCAATGATATCCCTCGTTCCACAGCCTCTTCTGAATCCGACTCGCAGCCATTTTTACATTACCTTTAGTAAAATTTTACTCACATGGGATATCAAAAAGATTGTCCGATGATTTCCGCATTCTGTTGGGTCACCTCTCTTTGGAATGGGCAAAAATACGGATTTCTTCCAATCAGTCAGACAGATAGTTGTCTTCCAAATTTCTTGGCAGAGATGAGTGAATGCCTCCAGTACTGCCTCACTTTCTTGACAGATTTCAATTTGTATTCTATCAATTCCTGGTGCCTTGTTCTTTGCCAATTACTTCAATGCACTTTGGACTTCCTCCTTCAGTATCATTGGCTCTTGATCCTATGCTACCTCTTGAAACAGATGAACAATAACCATTTCCTTTTGGTACAATGACTGTGTATTCCCTCTATCTTCTTCTTGATGCTTTCTGCATCATTCAATAATTTGCCCAGAGAATCTTTCAATAACAAAAGTCAAGGCTTGAATTTTTTCTTCAGTTCCCCCAGCTTGAGAAATACTGAGCGTGCTCTTCCTTTCTGGTTTTCTGATTCCAGATCTTTGTACATTTTGTTTTAATATTTGGATTTATCTTCTCGAGCTGATCTTTGAAATTTTCTGTTCAGCTCTTGGACCTCCACATTTCTTCCATTTGCTTTAGCATCTCTACGCTGGAGAGCAAGTTTCAGTGTCTCTTGTGACATCCATTTTGACCTTTTCCTTCTTTCTTGTCTTCTTAATGACTTACTACCTTAGGCTGCTACTTTTAGTGGCTGAAGTAACTAACTTTTTTCAAAACAACTACAGTAATATTTTCTGAAATAATAATATAATTGCATGCATCATTTGAGGACAGCATTGAGAAAAAACTCCAAATCCAGCAAATTGCATAATGAGTTTGTTATAAAGTTAGAGACTATAATTTTCACAACTGTTTGCACTGAAGAGTACATAGTGAAAGGAGCAATGTGGATGGAATAAAAGGATTCAAGCTCTAGCTCTAAAATTTTCTATGTAATGTGCAAGCCTAGGTTTCTGAATCTTTAAAATGTAAATGCAGACCCCATCAACCTCACACAACTGTTATGATGGTAAAATAATACACACAAAAATATTTTGTGTTATAAAAGATCATACAAATGGTAAGGCATTGTTCTTAGGATCTAGTCATTACTAGTAAAATAACAATTGGGTGTCCTACTGGTGACAGCTTAAAACTATCACTCTCATTTCAAAGAGACAAAAAGTATCTAATTGTTAATTATATATTTGAGAAAAATTGCTGTAAACTTAAACTATTTCTTACTGATTATCTTTCTCAAGAAATCACCACTCAATTCATTAGGAAAAAGAGACTTGGGTAATATAATATCCTCAATCCAGATACCATGTTTTATATTTAGCTCTACTTTTTAATATCTGAATGAAAAAAGGAAAAGACAAGTCGAGTTTTAATTAATAATATTCAGGTAAGGTAAAAGATCCACTGTCATCGAGTTGATTAGAAGTGAAAGTAATCCTCTAGGACAGAGAAGTACTCCTTAGGGTTTCAAAACTATAAATGTTTATGACAGTAGACAGCCTTATCTCTAAAACTGTAAATCTTTATGGGAGCACACAGCCTCATCTTACTGTTGCTTGCAGGGGGCCTGGTGGGTTTGAACTGATGACTGCATCACCAAAGTGCCTATCCAAGTAAAGTCTCCCTCAAAATTCAAAGTTGCTGATAACAGATCTAACTGATGTGCTCATAAATGACAAATAAGTATTAATCTAAAGCAAAACAACACATTTTACATATCCACCTCAAAATTACCTGCAATCAACTGTAGGAAATCATTTCTACTATTGCTTTCTCAAAACAGAGGTTTGAAAAAAAAAATGAAAAAATTTTACATATGATTAGCAAAAAATAAAGGCAAGGTAAGCAGTGCACAGCTGATCAAGAGTATAGCCATCAGCTGAGAAATCACTAGGACTTTGTAATTGTTGGAACTCTATCTATATACTTAAAGAGTACTGAAACGTGACTCATTTCTTTTTAACTCTAAATATCAACTCTATGCTCTGGTAGCATAGTGGTTATGAATTGGGCTGCTAACCTCAAAGTCAGCAGTTCGAAACTACCAGCTATTTCGCAGGAGAAAGATGAGACTGTCTGCTAAAGATTTGCGGCCACGGAAACCCTATGCAGGGTCGTTATGAGTTGGAACTAACTCCACAGCACAGCACCACCACCATCAGCTCTATAGTAATTCAGTTATGAGAATTCAATGGTAAATTTTAACAGAATTACTAAACCTTCATTTTTTTAAAAACAGTATTGACAATCTGGAGTCCTGGTGTAGCTGATTTCCCTATAAAGTTGGTTTGAACCAAAGGTTGGTGGTTCAAACTCAGCAGCCGCTCCTGAGAAATCCTATGCAGAGCTGCTATAAGTCAGAACCCACTCGGTGGCACTTAACAGCAGAAGAGCTGGACCCTCAGGCAAAACTAGACTAAAGGAGGCTAGTGCTATAATATAATACAATGTAATGCAATCAAAAGAATAGGAGTATATCTAACCTGTCACCAATGAGAGGAGAATAATATTTTGGTGAATGTTGGTGGAAACAAGGAAGGCTGACACAAAACCTTAATTTCTCAAGTATATAATTCATAATCTTATTTTCCTTTTTAATATATCAAAGTATTGATGATAATTTTTAGATAGTCGTAGATAAAGGCCTAGAAAAAAATCTAACTAGCTGCTATTATTTACACTTACCATCATAAAATCAATTACTTTACTTCTCTATAATTATTTTTTAAAATACTTTTTAAATGTTAAGTAATGCCAACTTCAAATTTATATATATTTAAAAACAGAGACTTACGTTTCATTCTACATATTTCTGCTGGCAAACTCTTCAGTTGATTACTGGAAAGATTGAGCCGCACCAGACTGGATAGAGAAGAAAAACTAGCAGGAACAGTTTTAAGATGATTGCTGGAAAGGTCCTTTAAAAAAGAGAGAAAGACAAAATGAATGAATGATCCGATAAATTAATAAATGGTCCCAAGGAGCTCTCTCTGGTAGCTTAGTGGTTACAAATTGGGCTGTGAACCACAAAGACAGCAGTTTGAAACTACCTGCTGTTATGCGAGAGAGAGATGAGGTTTTCTGCTCCCATAAAGATTTCTAGCCTCGGAAGCCCTGTACAGGGTCGCTATGAGTCAGAACCGACTCTACGAACATAACAACAACAACAAAAGGTATTTTCTACCACCTGTCAGTTTTTTGTACTCTGGTAGCTTACATATTGTTGTGGTGCTGTAATTCATTCCACCAGTATTTGATATATCAACTATCAGTAGGATCACCATGATAGGCAGGTTTCAATGGATCTTCCAGACTAAGACAGACTACAAAGAAATAGCTGACAATCTACGTCTAAGAAGTAATCAATGCAATTTGGAGTATTTGGCAAGCCCCTATTAGTGAATCACAGTGTAGACCCTTAGGATTTTGAAGCAAAGCCCTACCATTCTCTGCAGATAAGTACGCTCCTTTTAAAATACTACTCTCCTTTTGGCTTGTTACTGAGCCTTAGTAGAGAATGAATGCCTAACCAGGGATTACCATGTCACCATGAAACCATTATGAATTGGGTGTTGTTTGATGCACAGCAGCATTCTATAAATGGAACCGGTATATACGAGACTGGGCTCAAGCAGGTCATAAAGACATACGTAAATTGCATGAGGAAATGGCCCAAATGCCCATGGTCTCCACTCCTGTCACATTACTTTCCCTCTCCCAGTTCTAAACCTATGGCCTCATGGGGAGTCCCTTATGATCAGTTGACTGACGAAAAGAAAACTCATGCTTGGCTTAGATGGTTCTGCATGATGCAGGCACCACTAGAAAGCAGACAGCAGCATCACTATAGTCTTTCTGGGACTACCCAAAATGACAGTGGTGAAGGGAAATCCTCCCACTGGGTATAACTTTGAGCAGTGCAACTGGTTGTTTATTTTCTGGAAGGAGAAATGGCCAGATGTGCAACTATAGATAAATTCATGGGCTGGAACCAATGGTTTGGCTGGATGATCAGAGACTTGGAAGGAACATGATTGGAAAACTGATGGCAAGGAGGTGTGGGGAAGAGTTATGTTAACAGACCTCTTTGAATGGGCCAAAAAGTGAAGATATTTGTACCTCATGTGAACGTGCACCAAAGGTTTATTTCTATAGAGGAAGGTTATAACAACCAAATGGACAGGATGACATGTTCTGTGGAAACTATGCTCTTTCTCCAGCCACTCTTGTCATTGCTCAATGGGCTCATGAACAAAGGGGCCATGGTGACAGATATGGAGGTTATGTCTGGACTTAGCAACATAGGTTTTCACTCACCAAGGCTGATTTGGCTACAGACACTGTTGAGTGCCCAATCTGCCAGCAACACAAATCAACACTGAGTCCCAGATATGTAAATCCCATACCATTCCTCATGGAGATCAGCCAGCATCCTGGTGGCAGGTTGATAACATCACACAATTTTCATCATCATTTTGTTCTTATTGGAAGAGACACTTACTCTGGATGTGGATTTGCCTTTCCTGCATGCAATGCTTCAGCCATGGTCTTACAGAATACCTTATCCACCATCATGGTATCTCTCACAGCACCACCTCAGATCAAGGGACCCATTTCACAGCAAATGAAGTGTGGCAATGGACCCACCCACACTCGTGGAATTCACTGGTCTTAGCATGTTCTTCATCATCCTGAAGCAGCTTTCTAAAGACACAATTACAGCACCAAGCACCCTGCTGGGTTGGGTGGGACAATGTTCTCCAGAAGGCTGAATATGCATTTTGTTGTTTTTCCAAGTGCCAAGACCAATAGGTCCAGGTACCAAGGGGTGAAAATTGAAGTGGAATCTCTCACTATTTCTCATAGTGACCCATGTGAAATTTTTTTGCTTCCTGTCCCTGTGGCCCTATGCTCTTTGGGTCTGTACGTTGTAGTTACAAAAGGAATATTCCCACCTGAAGACAGAGCACTGATTCCATTGAACTAGAAGTTAAGAAAGCTTCCTAGCTACGGTGCACTCCTTATAACAGGCAAAAAAGAGAGTTACTGTATTGGGTGGTATGATTGTTTCTGATTGTTGTTGTTCTTGTTAAGTGCTGTTGAGTAGGTTCGGACTCAGAGTGACCCTGTATAGGGTTTCTGAGGAAGCTATGAGCTTGAACCACTGACCTTGAATTTCAAACCTACCTTGCAGTCTAGTGCATTATTAACCCACAGCGCCATACCAGGACTCCTGCTCCTAATTACAAAGAAGCAATTGACTTGACATTACACAATGTAGGTAAAGAAGAGTATGTGTGGAATCTAGCAGATTCCTTAGGATGTCTTTTAGTACTACCATCTTCTGTCATTAAAGTCAATGGTAAACTACAGCAAACCAATTCTAACATAAAGACTAATAGCCTAGACCTTTCAGGAATGAAGGTCTGGGTAACACCTCTAGGCAAAGATCCACGAAGAGCTGAGGTACTTGCTGAGAGAAAAGGGAATACGGAATGGGTAGTTGAAGAATTTTTTTCTAAATACCAGCTACAGCCATGAAAATACCAGCTATGGCCACATGACCAGTTGCAGAAATGAAGGCTGAAGGAGTACTGGTGTGGTATTGTAGGATAAGCTCTGGATCACAAAGTAGATTTGAACTATAAGGTGGGATATTTGAACTATAAGGCAGAGGTTCAAACCCACCAGTTGCTCCTTGCAAACCCTATACAGGGTGGCTAATAAGTCAGAGCTGACTGACTGGCAGTGAACAGCGACAATTGTTATAAATATGTTGTTGTTGTTAAGTGCTTTTGAGTTGATTCCAACCCATAGCTACCCTATACAGGGTTTCCGAGGCTGTAAATCTTTACAGGAGCTGACCGCCTCATCTTTCTCCAACGGAACTGCTGTTATTTTCGAACTGCAACCTTGAGGTTTGCAGCCTGAATCGTAACCACTACGCTACCAGATACATTTCTATTTTATTTTGTATGTATGCATCAAATATTTTTGCTTTGGGCATGTCATCAGAAGGGATCAATTGCTAAAGGAGACATCTTGTTTGATGAAGTAGAAGGCCAACAAGGAAAAAAAAAGATGGTCTGGGCACAATAACCTCAACAATGGACTTGAACATGCCAGCAATCTTAAGGATAATATAGCATCGAGCAATATTTTGTCTTGTTGCTCATAATGTCATCATAAATCTGACTCAACTAGATGGCAATTATCCATCTGTCTAAAGGGTATTTTACATTTCATAACTTCAAAAGAATTCCAAAATTAAAAAAGACCATTTCAGAGAAGACAGGTTTATAACTCTCACCACTGAAAATTTTATACATAGATTACTAATCTCACGGTCCTTTTCAACCCCTGAGGATCCACCAAGTAACTCAACAATGTGTGAGTGATTACAAGGAATATTGACTTTAGAATTTTACATAAAGGCTTCTGTTAATACTCAATTATTAATTGTCTTTCCAATATATGTAGTTGTTAGGTGCTGTAGAGTTGCTTCTGACTCACAGCAAGTCTATCTAGAATGGAATAAAACATTGTCTAGTCCTGCATCATCTTCAAAATCACTTCTACATATGAGCTCATTGTTGCAGCCACTGTGTCAATACATCTTGTTGAGGGTCTTCCTCTTTCTCACTGACCCTCAACTTTGCCAAGCATAATGTCCTTCTCCAGGTTGGTCCCTCCTAACAACATATCCAAAGTGTGTGAGATGAAATCTCACCATTCTTGCTTGTAAGAGACATTCAGACTATATGACTTCCAAGATAGTTATTTATTCTTCTGGCAGTCCATGGCATATTCAATATTCTTTGCCAACACCATAGTTAAAATACACCAATTCTTCTTCAGTCAATTGTCCAGCTGCATTAGATGCACCCTAGTCCTCAAAGTGACTTCCTTTTTAACAATATAAAGAGGTGTTTTTCAGCTGATTTGACCAATGTAATATGTTGTTTGATTTCTTGACTGCTGTTTCCATCAGCACCAACTATGATTCAATTAAATAAAATGTTTGACAACTTCTGTCTTTTCTCTATGTCTTAGGCTGGGTTCTCTAGAGAAGCAAAACTAGTGAAACTTATATACGGATATATAAAGAGAAGTTTAGATAAAGGAAACGGCTCACAGTTATAGAGGTGTAAAAGTCCCAAGTCTCAGTCAGATGAATCAATATTGGCATGTCAGATACAGGCAGACAGGTAACAGAGTAGGTCAGTGGCTCAAGTCCAAAGAACTAGAGATCAGAGGATGAGCCAGATGCAAGATCTAGACCCAGCAAAAAGCAAGCAACCTTTGCCTGAGTATCTAAATAAATTAGAAGCAGGCTACACCCCTGAGAAAATATCCTTTCAATTGACTGGCTGCTCATAGCGACCTCATAGTTAATTACATTATATTAAATCTTATTATGGGGATAACTACATCTCAATTGCCAAACCACTGAGAATTCTAGTTCAGTCAAGTTGATATAAAACCTTAATTATCATACTCCATTTAAATTAATACTGCTTATTGGGCCCATTGTGAGGATTTTTCTTTTATGTTTAGGTGTAATCAATACTGAAGTCTAGTCATTGATCTTCATCAGTAAGTGCTTCAAGTCCTCTTTGCTTTCAGCAAGCAAGGTTATGTCATCTGCATTATCACCCATTATTAATAAGTCTTCCTCCAATCCTGATGGCATGTTCTTCTTTATATAGTCCAACTTCTTAGATTTGCCCAGCATACAGATTGAATAAGTATGTGAAAAAGGATACATATCTTTCTTGATTTTAAACCAGTATGGCACTGCAGGTTAATGCACTGGACTGAAAAGTCAGTGGTTCAAGCTGACCAGTCACTCCTCGGAAACCCTATCTAGGGTTGCTATGGGTTGAAATTGACCCATATATTTATAGGTTCTGCATGA